TCAAGACTTACAGGCTTGGGAGAGAGAGAGTGTTTCCTCTGTCTGCAGAAAATACGAACTAGGGAATTCTAACCCCTCTGTTATGAGATATCACCCCTTAGCTAGGTTTGAAAATGATCATGAAAATGTTGAGTTTTAAAGTGGCCCAATAAGGAGAGGAAGGCCAGATATTTCCACAGACAAGGACAACTGAACTCTCCCTAATTCCATGCCCTGTCTTTATCCACCTTTGTTAAATTACTTCTCCTGCCAAGTCCATTTTGACACTTTGCTGTTCCACTTTCACATACCAGTGCCAACTCTCAGTTTCAGTTTGATCCTTCAAGCCTAACCTGCCCAGAATAAATTAAGTCACTATCCTAGTTTGGCCTTATTCTTCAGGTTTCACTCTGATCTATTTCAGTCATGATATTCCATAGTCTATCTTAATTGGAAAATGTAACCACAGTGCCAAACTGATGGATCCATTGTAACATGTTGCTCCAGTTTCTTCTTATCTTAATAGGCCTATGGTCAGCCTCTGAGACAGCTAGGAATTAATCCTCTAGTGAACAAATTGAGTCCTGAAGGACACAGAAAATTCAAGATACATGTTAACCCACTGTCTTGCTCTTGTCCATGTATGTTTATATCCAGTCCTTGTCCACCCATCTGAAAATAGATACTCACAGTACTTCAGTTATACTCACACATTAATTTCTCTCAGCCCCCACAGAATAATCTAGAGTTTGCTGTGCATGGAGGCACTGGAACAAAATGTCTAACCCCTGCCATTGCAGCCCAACCAAGTTGGAGCTGCCAGTGCCAGCAGCAGGCTCCAAGCATACAGGAATAATATGTAACATGCCTCAGAACTTGTCAGGATCTGAAGTTATTTTTATCTACTTTTAGTTTTACATGTGAATTTATTTAAGAAACTAGTTGTGCCTGTGACTTGCTTTTGGATCAGAGTTGTCCCACCTGTAACAACAGAAATACTTAATGGTCTTGTATTTATGACTAGCCAGAGGTTCTGTGTGGGTTTTTTAGAGCAAATTGTCTGGCTACTAATGAAAATATATTTAGTATAGCTTTATTTATTTGGCTTTGCTTAGTTATGTGCATTTAGATGATTTCAGCCCAAAAGAAATAAAACCATGACTGGAGAAGGACTATCAGACTGAAGCAGTCATATAACTAAGATTAAGAGCCAAATAGAAGTAAGTGCTAGTAAAAAGGCTGTTTGAAATTTAAGGTAACCCTGAGTATACACAAGAAAAGGAGGAAGAAATCCTTCCATTGGTGACACCATACTCCTTCTTAGGGATGGAATAAAGGATGGAATAATTCAATATTCCTTGTGTTAGCTGTTATTTGATTCAAGAACCAGCAATGTGCCATTGCCACATAGAAGGCTAACGGTATCCTGAGCTGCATCAGGCAAAGTATTGCCAGCAGGTCAAGGGCGGTGATCTTTCACCTCTCCTCAGCACTGATGAGACCACACCTGAAGTACTATGTCCAGTACTGGGGTCCCTAGTACGAGAGGGACTTGCACTCTTGTACTTGGCAGCGAAGGAGGATCAGTGCAGGGGAAGGGGCTGAGATCACATTCAGACTGCTCCCTGCCAGAGAGCCACAGATAACAGGCTTTTTCACCAAAGCAGCAGGAGCTGTATTTTAAGAGTTTCTGCTCATAGTGAATATGCTTTAAATTAAATACTCGACTACCATTGATTAAGACTAGATTTATAAGGATGAAGGAGGTTTGGTTCATCAGCTGAAAGTGAGACACCTTCTAACCCCATAAAACTGCTGAGGAGGGTGAGTTGCTCCAGTTCCTGTGGTGTGCCAAGGGATTTCTCCCTGGGAGATATTTCTAAGAAGAGAGTAAAGTGGAGATAGAGACACTCGCCTATTGCTGGAATAACTTCTCTCCCACCCCGGTTTCAGACAGTAGCTCACTTGATCATTTAACACAAGTTGTACTGCAACTACTCAAGCGGCAAGAAACACTCTGCAGTGAACCTGACTGGAGTGATTTACAGCTCCTTGCAAATTGCAAGAAAAATGGCTCTGGGAGTTGTGACAGTTGCACTCAACCAGACTGGTGATAGTTTGGTACAGGCTCCAAAGCAGATAAAGGCCTAGGCCGTAATTGCAGCAGAAACTCCTCCAGTCCCAGTCTGTTCTCTGAAAACTCATAAAGAAACAGAGTGACACAGTGAGCTTGACGAGCATATGAGCTTGGATCATGGGATTAACACTTTAACAGCAGGTGGCTTTTCCAAGATTCATTTATTAAGGAACAAAGAAAGTTGTGGTTACAGGAGCCTCATGCATACCTTTTCCATCACATGTAATTTGACTACAAGCCAACCACTTTATTCCACAAATATGAGTGCCTAAGTGAGCCTTCTCCCTGCCAAGCAGTTGGCTGCATGGCTGTGATCTCCTCCTGACATGGGACACCTCTCAAAGTTGCTTCTCGAGGCAGAGAGATCTTTTGTCAGTGGCAGATCTGTGGAAAGTGATTGATATCATACAAAACCTTTGATTATGGTAACTGTGATTTATGTCCTGGTGACTTTGATTCTGTCTTGGTAGTTTTGAATCATTGCTATATCCTTTGTGCAGTAATAGAGTGAACCTTCCCATCGAATTTTGTTAAGTCACACTTTTACAATGTCGTATTTCAATAAAACCACTTTTGCCGATGCCTTTGACAGTCGTTCTTTAAGCAGTCTAAATCACCCATTTGTGGCAGGAGTGCAGCAATAAGAATAGCAGATATACTTGCTCTTGCTCATGTGACCCATTCAGTGACCCACAGCAGCGAAGGAGGGATAATTGCAGCTATGTGACAGAATTGGTTTGCCCTAAAATTTTCATGCATACATACTTTTCAGTTATTTGTCTATTCTCAGTGTTTTTTTGGAATGGGATGAAAGCAATAGAAAGCTTCACTGAAGTCACTGATCTAATGTCTTTATGAAAATCTTGGTATATCTGAAGATGCAGCTAATACTTAAAAAGGAAAAATTAAAAACTTTAAATATTATTTATTTTTCTTTTAATAGTCCACATATGTTTAGGATTTGTAAATTCATAAACATTTTTATTTAATCAAATAGTTCTATAGCTTGTATGATCAAAAAAGGTCTTTCATTTTGTCAGAAATTAAGGTGTAAATGATTGATGCTTGCTAGCAAAGTATTGTTCAGATTTCAGAATCTTCATATTGTAAGGACACCTTTTCAACAGAAGGCAGGTATAACTGCACACCTTAAACTGTGGGGACCATTTGTAAATTTGAAAATTGACCTTATTCAGATGCCTAAATGCTGTCATTTTGAGTGTATCCTTGGCACTTTACATATGTTCTTAGAATAGGTAGAAGCCCATGCTTGTAGACATGCAGATGAAACAACTGTTGAAAAAAAGGTTGCTGAGAGAAGTAATTTCTGGGTTTAGTATTGCCCTAACACTAAACAGCAATAAGGGGACTCACTTTACCAGGTAAGTAGTGCAGAAAATTTGTGAAGCCCTACAAATAGAACCAAAGCGTTATCGTGCCCATCACCCTCAATCCAATGGGGCTGTAGAGAGGAAAAACTCTGATTTTAATAAAAAAATTGGCAAAAAATTGTGCAGAGACCAACCTGAAATGTCCAGGTGTGTTACTTGTCCCACTGATTTATATAAGAAGCATTCTGAATAGAAAATACGGACTATAACTTCATGAGAGTTTAATGGGCAAATTCATGTGACTTACCCTGAACAAATGCTGTCAAACCTAAAATTGATGGGTAATAGTCTTCTAAAATAATGTAAAGCCTTAAAGAACTATGTAAGGACTTCCCACTCACAGATGAAAGAAACCTCACCTGAACTCATCACTGAGGTCTGTTGTTCCTTGAAACCAGGAGACTGGGACTACATTAAGGTAGTGACTGTGGCTGCATTAATGTACCATTGAAAACGTGCACTTCAGCTGTGCTAGAAGGGACCTTATCATGTCCTGCTAATTGCTAATACTGCAGTAACGTGCAAGGGCTGCTCAGCTGGATCTGTGCTTCACAGCGTAGAAGTGTCACGGCACCTTCAGACACAAAACAGAGAGCATCACCTGCCACAGCAGGGCTGGATGATCCAGCTGAACGAACTTTGATCAAATGTCAACAGACGTACAACCTACAACCCCGCAAATAGACTTTGATGACCCTATTGTTAGAATCTGAATTTGTTGATTTTTTTTTAGAAATTTAGCTTTTTTTGTTCTGGAATTCTGTATTTGAGTTTATATTATTAATAGTCTTATACTAGCCTGTAAGAACTGTTGTATGATAAGACCATAAAAAAATGAAAGATTGTGAGGGGTCTCTAAGGCTCATACAAGACCTGTTAACTGGACAAGTACTTTTACATTAGGAATTCTTTTTCCTGGCACCTTGATACATCCAGACCTTTTAACATAAGTTGATTAAGACAGCATTGAAATTTATTAACTGTGCTGACTGTGTATTAGTGGGTACAGTTGACTTTCTGTTGTGGAAAATTGGTGTGTTAGAGACTAGAAAGAGGCATAACTCAAGCAAAGGCTAGAACAATAATGACAAGTATATAAGAAGATAAGGAAAAAGAGAAGGAGTAAGTGCTTGGACTAATGTCTCTAAATGATAACAAAACCTAGAGACAAGTACACATGATGTGACAGCATGGCCCACATGGAGATTGATCCTGGGCTCCAAGGAGTTGTGAGCACTGAAGACAGTAGTACCACAACTACAAAGTAAAGATAAGTAAAAATACAAATAGGCACAAAGATCATTGCTTTCTTATCACCTGCACTCTGCTTTAAAAATTAGGTTAATAGAGAAAAATATCAATAAACAGCATAGTTTGACCTTTCCTAATAGCATCATAAATGCAGAAAGAGAGACACTGCCTGTTACAACATCTGGTTTACTGTCTTGGCACTGATGTCATGTCTTCTTTCTTGCTGTCTTTGTTCTAGAAGCTTACTTCTTGCCGTCTTTGCTCGCAGAGCACATTCTCTTCACCTGAATGAAGTGGGGCCAGCCTAGCCCTTCATCCCAGTAGTACTCCGGGGAGAGCAGGCGCGTGGGCTTGTGATATAGGAGATACTTATTCAGGTGGCTCTCATCATGCCATCTAGCTGCAATGCCATTTTCTCTGTCCTCCATGACCCCTTTAAAACAAGTTGTGGTCAGTTTGTAGACCTCAGCCACACTTCCTCCATAGAAGCTTGCTGTATAATAGAAGTCCCCTTCTCCTTTAGGGATAGCAGCTTGTGACTCAATGCGTGTCTCATATAATTTGCTCTCACGACGTGTGGTGCACTGCCAGGGGCTGATGGTCCCCACCAGTGTGTCAATGATCTCCACACCAATGTGTTCAAATAGCTGGACATCAATGTCTATGGAGTAGAGATAGTCGACCTCATACTGGAATTGGCTATGGATATATCTACTGATGATATCCATACGGTTCATGAAGATATCCTGGCACTGTGAGTGATTCTGGACAGGAATAACAAAGAGGTGATTCTCAGGGGCCAACTGAAGGTGAGAGATCTGCCCAGGATTGTCTGTGAACAAGTAGAAATTCACCTGGTGCCCAGCAAGGAAGTACTTGTTGGCAGAGTTCATGAACCCTTCTATGAACTGGACGTATCTGAGAGACAAGGAAGGGAAAAGACTGGAGAGCAGATCTACCTTGTGAAGAATGGCAGCTTTTCAAGTTCATTGTATTTCTCCTTTTCTATCCATTGCTCCCCTCTTATGGTAGTGCTCTTTATTTATCATAACTGGTACCACTTCAACCCTTGCCTGTGCTGCTGCACATTATATAATTTTTCAGTTTTCACTATTCTCTACTCCATTGGTCTTTCATGCTCAGTATACAGAACAAATATCTTCTACCCTATGCTGCTCCCTAGTGTCACTGCATAGTATAAATACTTGTCCTCACCCTTCACTCTTACATGCTCCTTGACTCCCTGGCACTCCTTCTGCAACGTAACTTTTTAATTTACTGTTCTAGAGAGGATAAAAATTACCGATGAAATAATTTTAACAGCCTTGAGATACCTGAAGTCTCTATCTAATCTGGGATGCTCAGAGGACAGAGAGAGAATATAGTTCTTTACTCACTCAGAAACTCTAAGAGGAACCTCCCCCAGAATTTACAAGCTATAATGGCACGGTTAATAATTTTACTGGACCAAATATTGTAACTCTAAACTCTAATAAGAGCCCATTAAAAATCTCAGCTTTGCAGAGGTTTTTCATTTCTCACCCCAGATTAGAGGCTAGGTTTGTTGTAAGAAACATAGCAGGAGCTGGAATTTTCTTCTCGAGGGATTAAAATGCTAGTTATATTGCCAAGGATAATTTTAGACCTTTGCAAGGCAATGTCTCCTGTTTTTTTACAGCCAGTTGCCTTACTTGGTAAGTTGTCAATCCCGTGTCATATTTCTCCAAGCCTAAATCTGCTCATATTCTGTCTCCGGAACCTTTCTCACCCCTGCTTCACCAGCAGTATTGCAGCATAGCTGGCTGGTGAGAGGTTTGAGTATTTGACAAGAAATAAATAACAAACCAATACTTTTTAACAGCAAAAGTGACCACTCCAGTGACCAGGTTCTTCTGCATATATTGGGCATTCAGGATGTCTCTATTGAATGTGCCTTCCCAGACAATTGGAGCCAACCAGGGTGTCAACACCAGAACATCCTGCCTCCTGCAAAGGAGTTTGAGAATGAAAGCGGTCTTTAGATGGCCTATAGATTTCATAAATACAAACACAATCTTCTTTAGCACAGATACCTACCTTGGAGTTAATCATCCCAGACTCTCTTTGAAATCACTACAAGTCAAGAAAGTACTGTCAGTGAAATCTAGATATGAGTTATCTTATCCTGGAGCAGACACCTGAAATAAATCAAATGCCTCTAAAATACTTGCTTCTCTATGAAGTATGTAACTGCGAAAGAACTGATACAAGTTTAGAACCCGTGTTTCCAATTCAGCCTTTGATGACAGGAATGCAGCTATACCTGACTTTGTACAGCCATACCTGACTGCTAGCTCTGTTTCACAGAGCCATGTGAACAGAGCCATTTGTGTCCACATAACATTTCATTTTTACATTAAGCTGTAACATCCAGAGAGTGTATTGGCTCAGTCCAGGTATATATCCAGAGTGCAAGCAACTGGGTAAACACACACAATCAGGGGATTTAGACACAAGTATGGGCTTGAGCCCTGAGTTAATTCGAAAGTATGGAGAAAACCGAAGTTGACAGAATGTGATTTACTGCTGAGATGGTTTGGATCATCTTTTGGAGGTGCTACTGACTACTGAGCCCCTTCGCCTCTATCCTGATTAAATTTATCTGTATGATTATTCAGATCCTATAAAATTGAACCGATATATTTCTCAAGACATTTTCTGCCCAAATGTAGGTGCCTATATTGTAGATGTGCACATCTGAACAACTTGTCAGGAGTCCATTATTGAAAGTAAAGAGAAAAAAGCACTTCTATGGTATAATCTTATCATAATACAAGTATATAGAATATGTTTATGCCACAGACATATTAACAATTTCCAATTTACTGTAAAAGGAGCCTAAGACACTAGATGTGTACACATATGATCCTTCAACTGCATGGGAGACCTTCTGATAACTCCCAGTTTCCTCAGTGTAGGCATCTGCATATGAGCAATCTAGGCCACATTCATAGTCAGTGGCAAGAAATAGGTACTTCCAGGGAAAATCCTCCGAATTATTTTAAATATTTGGATTAACTACACCCGAGAATTGCCTATTTCTATTTACTGAGTATAAAGAAGAAAGCTAGCAACATAGCTAAATGTAGATATTGTTAGGGGAGTTGCTGAATCTGGTAGCTCAGTAGTGGCAAGGCTGCTGCAGCTCAATATCCCCTGTTCCAACCAGTAGCAAGGCTGAGAATATATTCCAAATAAGCACGTGAGCAATTACACATATACAGCATACAAATATATACATATATATATACATACACACAGATAATTTAGAAAGAAAATATGCCATTCATGAAAACACAAACAGCACCAACAGTGTCATCCTGTGCCCCCTTTTAAAGTACTGAGGATGAAAGCCCTTTAGTTAAAGGTATGTATAAACACCTATATTACACACTGATATATATGTACATACATAAAACATGGATCCCTACAGCAGCTGGACTTGCAGAATTTATCTGGTAATTGGCCCTGGCTCCCTGGCCTCCCAGTCACCTTGCAAGTCCATATGTTCACTGTGATTGACACATATACAGTATTGATCCCCCATGATCACACATGCTCCAGCACATTCATGGTGGATCCTTCTATTAACTGCCCTTGGACACAGTCTGGTCAGTAGATGGCCTGTGGATCTTCTCATCTCCAGTTGACTCATACACAGACACACATAGCCAAATGGGTCTCTCAGACAACTGCCAGACCTTACAGTCTCTCCAGTAGTTGGTTTGGACCTCCTGGCATCCTTCTAGTAGCCAAATCTCAGACTATTTGGTCTCTCTAATATCTGAAACAGGCTTATGGTCACTTTGATATCTACCTCACAAATCACTTATCCTACTTGCCAGCAAGTACAGTTTGGAATTAGCTAGCTATCACACTCTGACAGATATAATTACACAACAGCCGTGCACTCTAGTCTCTCTAGTTGCTGGCATCCCAGACATGCAGGCCTCCAAGACCTGTGGTCTCGAATCCAGTTAGCAACTAGCACTTGCATCCTCACTCACTCCAGCTGTTGAGACCACAGATGCACAGAACCCTGTGGCCTGTGGTCCAATTAGACTTGTTAGCACTTAAATTTTCACTAGCTCTGGTCTCTTCAACTGCAGGCACCAAAGACACATAGGTCCCCAACCCATGGTCTGACTACAGTTGTTCATATTTAGGCCTCCATACGAATACACACACACTAAAGAACCTCTTACACCTCTTACCTCTGAAGATAGGTGGAAATAGACCTTAATGAGAAGACAGAGCAGAGTGTGCTACCAGGTACAGGGCATTGCCACACACGGATGCTGATCAGCACACCTTTAAATGCAACTGATCTCTCATATAACCTTATCCATTTATTTTCCCATGCTCGTTCCTCTACAAACCACTTTGATCCCTCCCTTTCTCCACTTGTGGTTCCCCTTCTCAGCATCCCATAATCAATCTTGCATAATCCTAAAATGTTCTTTCCTGACATCCCATGCCCCTGTAGACAGTAACTCCCCTCAGTCTGAAATTTGCTCTAGAGAACCTCTCCCTCTGAATTATCTTAATAGATTTCATCCCTGGACAATGAGGCTGATTGATTGCTTTCCTGTTACAGCCCTGGTAGGCACATTTATGCTGTGATTGTTTCTCTTACTGGGCTACACGGGTTCCCTGCCTCCCATTGTCCCTTTGTGCCCATTCCTGTTGTGTAGAAATGAATCTTTTATCATATAACCTAAAAAATTTCTATATGACAAATCTCTGAAGTTATCTGAGAAGGATCATCCTTGATAAATCTTTTTCTTTTTGGTACTTACAGATTTACAAAATCAAACTTACTGTGGTTTTGTCAGAAGTGGCTGAGGATATAATATGCTGCAGAAAAGAAAAATTATTTATGACTTCGGAGCAATGTACATAGTCAATCATTATGACTATAATCCAGTAATAGTAATAACAGAATATCAGGGATTGTAGGGATATGTGGAATGTAAAGATTTCCAGATTGAGAGGATATCTAGTTAATAGTTATTCAACATCAAATGCAAAGACAAGAAACAAAGGATGTAATCAATTAAAACTCGAACACAAACCTGCATGCGCAGTAGATTATTAAAACAATAAAACCCTCTTAATTCAGCGACTCATGGGCTGAGGCAAACTGTGGGAATGTGCACTATTTATGCATAGTAGAAAAGCCAAAGCAGAGAAAGAAAGAAATAGAGAGAGATTGTGGAGAACAAATGAGTGAAAATTGAGATAAAGTGGTGATCAATAGGATCCAGTCCTGTATAAACAGGCTGTTGGTCACTCAGCTAGTCTGGCTAAGCCCTGAGCCTGATCACTGCAGTCTGTCCTATCTTCTTTTTGAACTCTATGCTTATTTATTTTCCATGTGACCTGTGCATGCAGATGGATACCTCACCAAATGTCAAGCTGATCAAGCCTGTGAGCAGGAGGAGACCAGAATCTGAAAAAACTTGAGGTCAGAACTGGAGACTGGGTCAGTGAGACCCAAGGTCTCATCACTGAGTCTTGACAGAGCTACTGTCTGGTGTAGGCTTTGAGAAGCTCACAGACACCTGCATCCCTGTGAAAAAACAGAATGAAGGGGTGTGTCTATACACTTATGAACTACAGTTCTGATGAGGAGGAAAGAGGAATAGGATCAGACAGAATCGCTTAAGACCTGCTTACGTAGAAACACTGCTCTCTATTCTGTCTGGGTCAATTTTGGTAGCCACTGTGTCTTTATTCTGTGTGTGCTTGCATCTTTCATTTTTGTGTTCAGTGTCACCACAGGTTGGAGATACAGACTGAGGAGGAGAAATCCTTGAGTCTTAAAGACGATGAGATTCAGCTTCTTTGACAAGAATAATAATTATACAGGCCTATGTTTTACAATAAAGAGACTATGTCAGTTCTCTCAACTTTGGAACAGGGCAGCCGAGTTATATTGTATTTGAAGTTAAGAAGCTATTCTTCATACAGACCATAAGATGGCATAAGAGACCAAGGGAGAAATCTGTCAGAGTAATTCCTTGCAGGATGTTCTCAGGCTTTTGTTTCAGTACACTGACTCACGTACAACCAGAGTCCTCTCAATTACAGCAATGTGTTTCTGAATTACTTCACACAGACACTATTTGGGAGGAATCCATACAGTCCAGAGGACCTGTATAACACTACATGCAAAAAGATCATCTGAGACTACAGTAAAGGATAATATGGGATCATTTTGTGTCTGAATAGCTCTAAAACAGTCTCCATGTTTATAGTGGGAAGGTGTGTGCCTAGGTATGTATGAGTTTGTGCACAATGGGGATTGTCAGAAACACTGTCAGTAGTTAGAGAGGCAGGTGAAGTTTTCAGTTTAGAAAGACCTTCCTGAATATGACTAGAGAAGGTCAAGAACAGAACAAATAATGAAACAAAGGACAAAATTCCTCAGAAACTCCCAGGAGAAAAAAATGCACTCCCTCCTTTTAGATTTGTAGTGCTAAAACATAAAATCTGGGAGGAAAAAAAATAGTTAAAGATATATTAATGTGGAATATGTATATTTAAATTTGTACATACGAAATTAAGTTAAGTAAGTACGCAGTTTCAGTCATTTAAATATGGATTTGTTATCCATGATTCTTCACAGAATCACATAATGGCTGAGGTTGGAAGAGACCTCTGGAAGTCATCTGGTCCAACCTCCATGCTCAAGCAGGTACACCTACAGCCAGTTGCCCAGGAGCATATCCAGATAGCTTTGGAATATCTCCAAGGAGAAAGATGTCACAACCTCTCTGTGCAACCTGTTCCGCTGCTCAGTCACCCTCACAGTGAAAAAGTGTTTCCTGTTGTTCAGATTGGACCTCTTGTGTTTCAGTTTGTACCTCTTTTCCTGTCACTAGGCCCCACTGAAAAAGCCTGCCTCTTCCTCTTTGCACCCTCCCTTCAGGTATTTGTATGTA